GTCAACTTGACACACCTGGGTAGAGGGAGCCTCAATTGGGGAATTTCCTCCATTGGATTGGCCTATGGCCATGTCTGTGGGGTATTTTGTTGATTTTTGAGTGATGTGGGAGGACAGTGCCACCCCTGGGCAGGTTGTTCTGTATTGTATAAAAAACAGGCTGAGCTTGGGCCAGGGGAGCAAGCCAGTAAGCAGTGATCCTCCATGGCCTGTGGCTCCGGTTCCTGCCTCCAGGTTCCTGCTCTGAGTTCCTACCTTGGGCTCCCTGATGAATTGTGACCTGGGAGATGTAAGTCAAATAAGCCCTTTCCTCCTAAAGTTGAAATTTGTCAAAGTGTTTTGTCATTGCAATTGAAGGCGAACTAGAACAGAAATTGGTACCAGAAATGGGGTGTTGCTGTGGTAAACTTGACCATGTGGGTTTTTGGAGGAATGTAGAAGTCTTTGAAAGTTTGGGCTAGAGAAGTGGTTGATTGTTGTAAGCAGAGCATAGCAGGGCATTCCAGTAGGCTCCTAGAAGAAAGAAGTGCTGAGAACAATGTAGTTCCCGAAGGAAATAAGGACTTATGCAATTGGGATATTTTGATAAAGAGTCTGGCTGGAGTCTGCCCACAGCCGAAAAAGCTTGCCTGAGGCTAAGTTGAAAAGCCATGGACTAATTTCTTTGGCGGAGAATATTTCAAGGCAGCCTAACATAGAAATAAATGGTGGCACGGCTGTTAATGGTGAATATTATGCAGATCTATAGTGAAAAATAGCAAATGGAACAGAAGGAAATACAGAATGTACAGCTGGGGTTGAAAATGAGCCCTTGGAAGATGAATATTGGAGCCAAGGCAGGTGCTGAAGGAGAGGATCCCTTTGATAAGGAGATTAATGAGATTAAGGAGAGGCCTAGAGATTTGCACTTAAACAGTGGAGAGAGGGCCTTCAGGGTGAGACCACACCCAGCCAAGCCTCCAACTTGTGAAAGGAAAATGCTGGGCTTTTCTACTCTCAGAAAACCACAGTAGAGAAAAGCTTCAAACGTGGGTGAAGCAGGCTCTGGTCCATCTCAAACTTGCAGTCAGACTTGGCAGTGTTGTTCACCTGGTGCTGGTTTTAGAGGCATGAAAGATGCAAGAGTGAAGGGGTCATAGGTTCTCCCTCCTGGGTTTCAGAGAGCCGCCGACGAAGCTGTGAAGGTGAAGCCTGGTTGGCAGTGGAGACCCCAAGAAGACGTTCATGATGCCAGAGCTGTGAGACATCTGCTGAGGAGAGCTGCATACAAGGAGTGGTATCAGCCCAAGAGAGAGATGTATGTTGCACCCAGCAAAGCTGGAGAGGCTGAGCCATCTAAGCCCTTTGGAAGGAAATCCTAGGAGCTGGACATGGAGTTACTGGACTTGGTGTTTGCCCTCCTGGTTTTCGGTCTTGTTTTGGTCTGGTATTTCCTTACTATGCCTCTATTTCTCCATTTTGGAATGGGAATGTGTATTCGGTTCCACTGTATGTTGGGAGTATGTAATTTGTCTTTTGATTTCACAGGAGCCTACAGTTAAGAAATTGCTCTAAGTCTCAGAAGAGACTTTGGACTATGGACTTTTGAATAGTATTGAGACTGGTAAAGACTACGGAGACTTTTGAGGTTGCATTTTATATGGTGATGACCCTATGGGGGCCAGGGAGTGGAATGTAATGGTTTGAATGAGAATGTCTCCCATAGGCTCCAGTTATTTGGACATTTTGTCCCCATTTGGTGGTGCTGTTTTGGGAGGTCTTAGAGGGTGTGGCCATACTGGAGGAAGCACATCACTGGGGGTGGGCTTGAGAGTTCTTAAGCCTTGCAGGATCTCCAGTTGCTCTCTGCGTTCTGTGCCTGCTTGAAGATGTGCAGAGCTTAGCTTCTGCTCCTTCTCCAGCCACCTCTGCTTCCATGCCTCCCCCACATGATGGACTCTTGCCCCTTTGGAACCATAAGCTAAATAAACTCTTCCTTTTATAAGTTTCCTTGGTCATAGTGTTTCTATCACAGCAACAGAAAAGTAACTAATACAGCAGGCATCTGGTTTACGGTAATAGAAGCATCATAAAGTCTCTTTCTTCTTCTTTGGACATGAGTAATGAAGGCTATAACCCACTCTGCCACTGTGGGAATTAACCCACAGAGAAGGGACTCAGACACAGGTCCTTGGCACTCTTGTGGCCCCTGAAATCAGCCAGGCATGCGGCCAGTCTGCCAGCTTATTGTACGGTATTCGAGATAATTATTTTCCTTCTTTGCTTAAGACAGAGGGGTGTGGCTTCCCATCACCTGGAGCAGGAACCTAAAAAGTGCAGATCTTGCACTTTAGAGTGTGATCCTTGCTAGGCATGGTGGCACACACCTTTAATCCCAGCACTTGAGAGGCAGAGGCAGGAAGATCTCTGTGAGGACGAGGCCAGGTTGGTCTACATAACTCCAGGCCAGTTAGGGCTAAAAGGAAACCATTTCAAAAAAACCAAAAAAAAAAAAAAAAAAAAGAGTGTGAGCCTCCAGGGTCTCAGAGTCCAAACCTCACAAGAGGGTTAAGGGTCCTGAGACTAACTCAGTGAAAATAGCCAGTCTTCTGAATCAATGGTTTTTATTTTGTTTTCTTTGTTTGAGATAGAAACAGCCTCAAACTGTCCCCTTCTCCACAGTTTCTCCCTCCTACCCTCAGCTCCCCGTCACTTGTTTTCCTGAGACAGGATCTCACTGCATAGAACCCACTGGCCTCAAACTCACAGAGAGCCGCCCTCCTTTGCCTCCTGAGTACTGGAATCAAAGGTGTGTGATGCTACACCTGGCACTTTGGTTTGGTTAGGGTCTCCTGCAGTCCAGTCTGGTCTCAAATTTGCTAAATAACTGAGACTGACTCTGAATTTCTGCTGCTCCTGCCGTGGCCTCCTGTGTGCTGAGAGTACAGGCAAGCACCACTATACCTGGGCCTATGGTCAACATTTTTTTTTTTTTTTGAGATGCGGTCTCACTGTGGTTCTCACTGTGTAGACCAGGTTGGCCCTGAGCTCACAGAGATCACCTGTGTCTGCTTCCTGAGTGCTAGGGTTAAAGGATTAAAGGTGTATGCCACCATGCCAGGTCTACAGTCAACATTTTTTAAAAATTTTATTTATTTTATGTGTATGGATGTTATGTCTGTTTGTATGTAAGTACACCTGTGTCGTGCAATGCCCGAGGAGGTCAGAAGAGTTATGAAAGGTTGTTAGCTGCCATATTGGTGCTGGGAATTGAACCTGGATCCTCTGTAAGAGCAGCCAGTGCTCTTAACCACTGAGCCATCTCTCCAGCCTTACAGTCAGCATTTTTAAAAATATTTTGTTTATTATTTTTATTTTATGTGTATGCGTGCATTGCCTGCCTGTAGGTAAGTGCACCATGTTGTGCAATGCCCACGGAGGACAGAAGAGGCTGTCAGATCCCCTGGAACTAGAGTTACTGACACTTGCTAACTGCCATGTGGGTGCTGGGATTCAAACCTGGGTCTTCTGCAAGAACAGTCAGTGCTCTTAACCACTGAGTCATCTCACCAGCCCCTCACAGTCAACATTTTTAAAGGGCCTACCACACTGCTGCAGGAGACAACCTGGAGACACTGTTGCCTGGCTGTGAAGGTATTTATGAATTTTGAGGAGCTACTACTACCTTCAGCTACTACTACCTTCCCAAGGAGTGAAGGATGAGGTAACCATAGCAACATGCATTGAAAGACTCAGCTGCAAGGAGAGGAAGAGGAGGTGGTTTGTGTGGAGGGGAGCTTGGTACCATTTCCACAGCTGTGACTAATGGTGGGCATCTTGGCATGCCACATCTTCCTGTTCCACCCCCCACCGACACCCCCGTAGTTTTGTTTTCTAGTCCACGCTGGTAAGAACTTGCACACATTCCTGTAAATGCACTTGAGGGACAAAGATTTTCAACAAAGACTTTACTTTGGTACCAGACAGAACTCGAGGGATATGGCTCAGAGACCTTTCCAAAGAAAGGCCTGCTACAAATGTGTTCAATATTTTTAATTACATTTTTCCAAATATAGATTTTATTTATTATTTTTATTTTTTGTGTATGAATGTATTGCCTGCATGTATGTAAGTGCACCCGTGTCATGCAATGTCTGCAAGGGTCAGAAGAGGGCATCAGAAGAGGGCAATCCATAGAGCTGGAGTTACAGACAGTTGTTAGCTGCCATGTGGATGCTGGGAATTGAACCCAGGTCCTCTGCAAGAGTAGCCAGTACTCTTAACTGCTGAGCCATCTCTCCAGCCCTTAATTGCATTTGTTTGTTTGTTTGTTTTGTGTGTGTGTGTGTGTGTGTGTGTAGGTCAGAGGACAGCTTTCAGAAGTTGGTTCTCTCCTTCCACCATGTGGGTCCTTGGGATAGAACTCAGGTCATCAGGTTTGGTGGCAGGTGCCTTTACCTGTGGAACCATCTCTCTAGCCCTTGCAAATGTATTCAAATTCGTGATTAAATTTAAATAATATTATATAATAGATTTGAGACTACTGAAGTATAAACCTTTCCCAATTGAGCAGTGGACTTGATCAACACAGGATCTGTTACAAAATAAGTTAGTAGAATCCAACAAAACATATACCATGCATCTTTAGGGGAAGGTGACAGCAAACATATATTTGGTTGGGGGACAGGGGTCTATTTTAGTGCCAGAACACATGCTTAGCATATGTGAAGCCCTAGGTTTAATCTCTAGCAACATACACATATATGCACACACACACACACACACACACACACACTAATATGTATTTTTGTAGAAGACTCAAATATATAATTTGTGTCAGTCTCCCCAGAATTAATTCAATCCAAACTGATAAAAAGCACACTCTTGTTACGTTTTCTTTTCTTTTTTTGAGACAAGGTCTCACTACAGAGCTCCAGCTGGTCTGGAACTTGCTATGTAGACCAGGCTGGCCTTGCACTCACAGAGATTCACCTGCTCCTGCCTCTTGAGTGTTGGGATTACAGGTACATGCTGTTACACCCAGTGAATCATTATTTTTTTCCGATGAATGCCACAGAACTTAGCCTTTGAAAATAAGCTCTTTCCTTCCTCAGCTCTCTTTCTTGGCTATCAGCTGATAGACTGTGGGTGTGTTTCTTTGACCCTCTGTCTCCCCAACTAGACTGTGACTCTGTGAGGACAGGGCCTCTAATTCATTGCTTTTGCTCCAGTCCTTATAACTTGATTGTAGCTGCCCAATAAGTAAGTGTTGAATGACTGTAAACCACACATACAGTTGACCAATATAGTACAGGACTTCTACATGTCCCCTCACACCATTGACTCTGTGCACCTGGCACGGCGTGCTCAACTTCACGAGGTCCTGACTCAACACCTGCCTCTCTTTTTGAATTGCATGGGGTAAGTCCTGTGGTGGCTTAGCCACTTGGTAATGCCAGCTCTGGGCTGTGTGTCTGCCCTGGATGGCTTTCCGCGTGGCAGAGGGGCCTCTGTGGTGGGAAGCTAGCCAGGAGTGAACCTCTACGGGAGGAAGTAGGAAGGCTTCACTCCAACATCCCTCTGAACTCCCGCGTGTGGTACTGGAGCTTCTCCACCTCTGCCTGGAGGTGGCCCAGGGCCGCAGGGCTTGGGTACTCGATCACTGCATTCTTGGTGGCCAGTGCCAGGTCCTTGAGCAGTCCACACAGATGGCTGCTGCTGTGCAGTATCTCGTTGCGCTCATCCTTATCCTGGGTCTCCTTGCACAGAGTGTCCACCAGCTTCTGCCCCACCGTGATCACCAGTTTGCTCCGAGTGATGAAGACCTCTGGGGGCTGGCTATCGCTGAGGCTGCTGGCAAAGACGCCAATGGCTTTGAAGAGCGCCCCGAAATAGAGCCGGCAGTGCTCAGACAGGTGGATCTTCCTCTGTGGGTTCTGCTGATTGGGAGGTGGGGAGGTAAGAGAGCTGGGACTCTGGAGGGGAGGAAGAAGAAAACAGGTAAGGGCAAGAAGGATTAGCAGGCCGTGGTTTCCTTCCCTTTCCAGGTTTTGCTCAGTTTGCAAGAGCTTTGATAAGAGTTTGGGCTCAGCAGCTGTTCTTGCAGAAGACCTGGGTTTGAATCACAGCACCCACATGGCCGCTAACAACCATCTGTAACTCCAGTTTCAGGGGATCTGGTGCCCTCTTCTGGCCTTCTTGGGCATGGCATGACATAGGTGTACTTATATACGTGCAGGCATAACACTCATACACGTAAGAAATAAATACAGTTTGAAAAAAGAAAAAGAAAAAGCAGTTTTGTTAGGGAGACCCAGAGCTACAGTGTCTGTCCAACAAATGGATGTGAATGTCACAGAGCACTGTCACATATGATACTGTGTATGCTTTTGACTACAGATTGCAATTCATACATGTGTATGATTTTATCTCCCCTACTCCGTAAGCCATGAGAAATCCATTCTAAGGAACACATTGATAATGACTAATGGACCATGCCAGCCTAACCCTGAGATGGAGCCAAGGCAGGAAGACTGCCAGTCCAAGGCTACGTGCTGAGACCCAGTCTCTAAGCAAGCAAACAAATAAGCAAACCCCAATCGACCAAGAAAAGAAAAGGTTTGGTGTGTGTGTGGGGGGGTACACATGTAGGCTGTATGTGTATGTGGCGTATGGTTTGGTGTGTGTATAGTATGTGCATGTGGTGTATGTGTGGTGTGTGGTGTGTGTGTAGTGGTGTGCTCTGTATGTGTATGTGTGGTGTGTGTATATGGTGTGTGTGGTATGTGTGTATGTATGTGTGTGTGTGTGTGGTGTGGTGGGTGTGGGTGTGGTGTGAGTGTGGTGGGGAGAGAGAGAGGTAGGAAGGGAAGGAGGGAAGAAAGGAGAGAGCATCCTCTGGGGATGTGATGGCCATTGACTGCCATGATGAGCCTCGACCAGCCTGCAGGGCCCCTGGACCCTTTCTCTGACACTAAGAGGCTCAGGCTCTATGCTGGACCCCCAGGGTTCCACTACTCAAGAGAGGAAAAGGCAAATGTTTCCCACAGGGAGTGCACTGTGGCCCTGACTTGTCACAGCCTGAGGAGCACTCTCCAGGACAGAAGTGCCTTCCCCAGTATTGGGAGCTTACCATCATGCCCAGGTATGAGTGTACTGCCTGCATGTATATGAGTGCACCTATGTCATGCAATGCCTATAGAGGTCAGAAGAGGGCGTCAGATTCCCACAGAACTGGAGTTACGGATGGTTGTTAGCTGCCATGTGGGTGCTGGGAATTGAACTGAAGTCCTCTATGAGAGCAGCCAGTGCTCTTAACCGTGGAGTCATCTCTCCAGCCCTCAAATTCACCATTTCTTTTTTTTAAATTTTATATTTTTTATTTTATGTGTGTGAGTGTATTGCCTGCATGTAGGTAGGTGCACCTGTGTCATGCAATGCCCATGGAGGTCAGAAGAGGCTCTCAGATCCCCTGGGACTGGAGTTATGGACAGTTGTCAGCTGCCATGTGGGTGCTGGGATTCGAACCCGGGTCTTCTGCAAGAAAAACTGGTGTTCTTAACCGCTGAGCCACCTCTCCAGCCCCCATATTCACTATTTCTAAGCGTTGCCAGACTGCAGGCTGGTCAGCACAACCAGGAGCAATGCTATTCCTCTTTTGAATCAAAGAAAAACCTCTAATGACTCAACCAGTAGCTAAAAATAAAAAAATAAAAAGCAGGCTGAGGCAGGGGACTACCCCAAGTTCGAGAAAACTTGTACTACTTAGTGAGTTCCAGATTAGCCCAAGCTAAATACTGTCAAAAATAAAATAATATAAAATAAAAATTAAAGTAAATGGGGCTGGGGAGGGGTCAGTGGGTAAAGTGCTTGCTGTGCAAGCATGAGGACCTGAGTTTAGATCCCTGGCACCCACGTCAAAAGCTAGGTGCAGCATCACATGCCTGTAACCCCAGCATTGGTTGAGGGGGTATAGACAGGCAGATCCCAGGCCTGTGCTGCTCAGCCAGTCAAAACACTGAGCTTCAGGTTCAGTGAGAGATCCTCCCTCAAAAAAATAAAAAGATGGAGGGGCTGGAGAGATGGCTCAGCAGTTAACAGTTAAAACTCTCTTTTACCCGACCCTAATTTGGATCCCAGCACCCATGTCAGGTGACTCACGCCTTCCTGGGACTCTAGTTCCAGAGGATCCAATGCCTCTGGCCTCTTCAGGCACCTGTACTCCGATGCAGATACCCACACTTACATATACATAATTAAAAATTAGAAATTTGAAAATAAGATGGAGCACAATAGAGATACCTGATTTCTGGCCTCAAGGTGCCCATGTACTGACACACGCCCTCCTTTGCACCATGCATATGCACTGGTACATGTTGTCCCCCCATCCTCAACGAACACATGCACACATATATACACAAGAAAAGAGCTGGGGAGATGGCTCAGCCAGTAAAGTGCTTGTTTTGCAAACATGAGGGCTCCATTGCCAAAACCCAAGTGAAAAACTGGGTGTGGTGGTACACACTTGTGATCTCAGTGCTGGGGAGGTAGAGGAAGACAGTACACACTTGTTATCTCAGTGCTGGGGAGGTAGAGGAAGACAGATCCCCGGGGCCTAGCCTACGTGTCAACTTCCAGGCCAGTGAGAGATCCTGCCTCAAAAAAAGAGGTGGATGGTGCTTGAGGAATGACACCCAAGCCTGTCCTCTTGTCCTCTGGCATGCGCGCGCGCGCACACACACACACACACACACACACACACACACACACACACACACACACACACACACCACACCCACACTCCCTCAGA